TTATGTGTGATTTAAAGGACATATTCTGATCAAAGATGACTCACAGGTTCCTCACAGTAGTACTGGAGGCAAGGGCTATGTCATCTAGAGTAACTATATGATTAGACAGCAGATTTCTAAGGTTTTCAGGCCCAAGCACAATAACTTCAGTTTTGTCAGAGTTTAGAAGTAAGAAGTTGCAGGTCATCCAGGCCTTTATGTCTTTAAGACATGCTTGAAGTTTGACCAGCTGACCTGATTCATTTGGCTTCATAGATAAATATAACTGAGTATCATCTGCATAGCAATGGAAATTTATGTTGTGCTTCCTGATAATATTGCCTAAAGGGAGCATGTATAAAGTGAAGAGAATTGGACCTAACACAGAGCCCTGTGGAACGCCGTGACTAACTTCAGTTTGTGTGGAACATTCATCATTAACATGAACAAATTGAGATCTTTCTGATAAATAAGCTTTGAACCAACTTAGTGCAGTTCCTTTAATCCCAATAACATGTTCAAGTCTCTGCAGTAAGATGCTGTGATCAATGGTGTCAAAAGCAGCACTGAGATCTAAGAGGACAAGTATGGAGACAAGTCCTTTGTCCGAGGCTAGGAGAAGATCATTGGTGACTTTCACCAATGCGGTTTCTGTACTATGATGGACTCTAAATCCTGACTAAAAATCCTCAAACAAGTCATTCTTGTGGCCACATAACTGCTTTGCAACAGCTTTTTCAAGGATTTTGGAAATAAATGGGAGATTGGATATTGGTCTATAATTAGCTAGGACACCTGGGCCAAGAGTAGGTTTTTTGAGTAGAGGTTTAATTACTGCAAGTTTAAAAGCCTGTGGAACATAACCTCTTAATAGAGAGAGGTTAATCAGATCTAGTATGGATGTGTTGATTAGGGGAAAGACGTCTTTGAGCAGCCTGGTCGGGGTGGGGTCCAGGAGACATGTTGATGATTTAGATGAAGATGCAGACATTATGTCTCCACAAGGTTACAATATACAGTTCCAAAGTTCCAGCTCAGTAGAATTTGACAGTCATCAATACAGTTTTGTAGGGTATGGTTCGTATTACCGTTGCTAACTCTGAGAGACGAGACAGTCCAAGTAACTTCAAAACAGTGCTGATTTATTCAAAGGATCACAGGTAAAATTAACATTACACGCTCAAGCACCTCCACCATGCACGCAGAAAGATGTAAGATGGAAGACCTGTGTGTGTCTGTTGGTTAAGTGGTGTGTAGCTAAAAACATTCTCACAGACTTCTAGTAACATGTCGTGACTTAAACATAAGAACATATTATGGCTAAGGCTACAGTTATACACGTCATAATAATAATATTAAACACCCTGTCTGCTGACAGTCATCAACTCTTCTCTCTAGTTATCCTTGACCAGATGTACCCTGTAGAAACTCATAAGCATGACTAAGCATTTAACAGTCTAACTAGACATCCTATCTCCACTAAACATTTCTAATACATAAAGTATCTATCCAATATCTATCTGACTAAAAATACCTAACAGTTTTAATATATATAAGCAAGGAAAATAAAGGTATGAAAAGTAGTTATGAAAGGTAACTACAGGAAACTAAAGTTATGAAAAATAACTAAAGCTTATAAAGTAACTGAAGCCTAAGATTCAAATCTTACACTTTTACCCAGCTATTTCGATTCATCTGCCTACTTGCTTTCCAACTTTCTTGCACTCTCAATCGTAACACATGGCTGTAAGTTGTTACAGCTGTACTGTACAGTGAGTGTAGCTGAATAGTTTAATGGTTATTGTGACAGTAACGTAGCTAAAGATCAGCATCACATCACATTTGAAATTCTTTTTGGATTTTATTCATCTCCTAACACAAATATGTGGATACACTTTATTGCCCAAATCATAAATTGTATTTCATCAAATGAATCTAGGTACTCCAGAATCTTTCTACTTACCCACTTGCGCACTACTACTCCTGGTTGGAAATCGCTGGTCTATAGCTCATGAATACTTTTCCTCATATGATATTTGTACAGCGGGCACTGGCTGGCCGGGTTCTCATTAGTGTTGTTTTCACTTGTATGCACACTCATAGTAAATATCCTATTGATTACTTGTGGTGTGTGAATAGACTGCAATACACAATCTTTATACACAAGGTCCACCCTTCCTGTTGACTGTTTGTTGTTTGCTTTCATGCTCCCCGCCCCACCATGTTTCCCCAAGTCTTCTTTCTTTCTCCTTTCCTCTCCCTCCTCCTGATAGACATGCACCAGCCCTTTGCAGCAAATTACGTCAATTCCCCTGGAGCAGGAGGCCAACTGTTGATGTCACCCTTGGGTCTTTTTAATTTAGGGATTTCCGCTGGGTGAGATGAGGGGGAGCCTTATGACCTTAGCCCACAGCCACATGAAGAGGCCCACCGGGTCTGAACCATGCTGGGCCAGGCCTGCGCAGGGCAGGGCAAGGCAGGTTGGGACCACTCCACTGGGGTGTGGGTGAGACCAGAGAGTGGGCGCTTTGAGCTGATCTTTGAGTTGTAACAAGAACTGATCTAGAAGCGCTGTGTTGCTGGGAGTGCTTACTGATGTCATGTGAGCAAATTAGTGTTGCAAGGGGGTGTTTTAGGAGCGACTGCCATGCAACCCGTTGTACTCATGACAGCATGTCTGTAACTTGCAAATAATGCTGCTATCCCTTGAGCTCTTAAATGCAGCCTTTCAGCAGCCATGACTTTCCTTTCTTTCAGAGGGGATCAATTATTCCTACCAAAAGTTATCTCTCATTCTTTCAGTCCTTGAGACTTGGAGTGGGAGTGAACATTGCCTCCCGAGTCCCACCGAAGTATATTAAGATGATGATGTCAAATTATGATGATGTCCATCTGTCTGCCTGTGTCTTGTACTTGCTGTAATTTTTCTTTTGTAGTGGTTCTTTTGCTCTTTAGGATTACTTTGTAATCACTGAAAAAAAGGTTTTATATAACTTTTTGTTATGTTTTGTTAATGCCATGGTTGGCACTGTAAAAATAAAACCCTACTGCACTGGCCATTATAAAAGATGCATTCCTCTCTGTCTTCCACACAAAAAACTTATCCTACACAGCAGCATATGTATTGTTTAAAATTTCTGTTATTGTCCTATTTTGCTTTTGTAATTTTGTTCTCTCTTGACACATTTTTGCAGTATCACCCTTTGTCTCTGTGCAACACGAGTGAGGATGAACGACAAGAGAGTGACTTTATCGCCATTGTCAAACTGGAGCTCAGGGTACACCGCTGTCTGCCACTGCACGAAAAGGTATCACACACATTAACATGCAAATCTGGTTTTGAATGCTTCATGCAGTTCTTGTGAAACTCTGAGAAACTCCCCCTCTCTGTGACCCCTTCTCCTCTCAGACGTGGCAACAGACAGATACAACCACCTCGCCATCTCATCTTCTCTCCACTACCCCTTCTGCTTTTGGATTTAGACTTTAAAGAGAAGATGGTTTTAGAGGGAACTATTTGGCAGAAGCTTAATGTTTTGCTCAGGATGGTGATGTTTCAGAGTGAGGGCTTGGACAGGAAGAGACGGACTTAGCTCGGCACTGCTATGTAGCATGTGGCACTGAGCCCTGGCTTTAGATGTAAGGCTTTCAAGCCCCAGCTGTCACTGGTCCGATCCCAGCCAGCCAGCTAGAACCAGACACTTGGTGCTCTCAATTTCTGCTTCCCTCTAATATGAAAGCAGCCAGAGCTCCAGAGCTCCACAGATTCCACCCACAATGGTTTAGATGTATGTATAACTGCAACAGAGTTGACCTAAATCTCCCTTCTGTTTAAGTATTCTACCATACACACTGCCTGGCATTTTCTAACTTTAAAGTTGTTTTATTTAAAGCTGTTGCTATTTTTTTCCTCATTTTTCAAGTGGGGACAAATTAGCAGGCAGGAGTATAGTTAGGCGATTGCCTTTTTTTAGTCTGTGTTTTCTTTTCCCTTAATTTAAAGCCATGTTTAGGAGCTGCCTGATGTAGCGACGATGTAGAGACATTCCCACACTTCCCTCCTCCTTTCTTCCTCCTCCTGTTGCTCTTTCAGTGGGAACCAAATGTGGAAGAGGGGGTGTTACTCAAGGTTGACTCTAGAAAACAGGTTTGATTAAAGTCTTAGTGGCAACACTGTGTTGTCCCATAAACAAAACACAGTCTCTCTCATACAAAAGTACCAATGAACAAAAGGCTGTTGCTTCTGTGTGCTGTCTCCTTCCCTGCAGATTGCCTTTGAAATCAGGAGACATGAAAGAGGGAGGGGAGAGGGGTCTTTCTTGTTGTGTTGGTCGTCTGGAAAGTGTGTGTTGTAATAAACTCCACTCCAGCCACCTGGATCCTTGCTTCCTCAGTGCGATTCAAAGATTTCAGTTGTGGTGGATTTATTGGGGATTCATCATGCAGCTGTTGAGGAGTTTTCTCCCAGCCTTTCGAAGAGGATGAATCAAATGGTTTGGGATGTGCGGTGTTGGGCCAGCCATGCTCTCTGGATGGGGCTTGTTTACAGTTTAGTCTGGCTATAACCCGCCCCACTGATCTATAGATACTCAGATGGCCACAGAGGGTTCATGTTGCACCACATACACTCAGAATAGACTGTAAACCAAACAAAGCAAAGCTGAAATCCCTAAAGAAAAAAGTTTTATTGTTGTTTTTATTTTGGTTTTCAGAGATTCCTACCACTGGCATCACAGAGAGGTTTCTTTCCTGATTTCACTCATGCAGTATTGCTTATTGTTTTACCGAATGGGTCTCACAGTATCTCTGTGAATTTGAGTTAATGTTTTCAGAAGTCTTTGCTGCACTTACAAACACCCTTTTGTTCAAATTAAGAAGAGGATGCTGGAGGTACTCTAAAATTGAATTTGTGCATTAGCCCTTGAACAATCACCTTCTCCTGGTGCTTTCACACTACTGGCCATCTCTCACCCACATTCACACATTTGTATGAAATAAGCAGTTTTGTGACACAGAAGTCATGCTACATGAAGTTTCATGTTTCGATTTAGGGCTGCAACTAAGAACTATTTTAAAAATTGATTAATCTGTCAATGATTTCTACAGTTAATTGATTAATCCGATGTAGTTTATAAAAAAACATGCAGAAATCTATTTTCCACATTATAAAAAAAAGGCATTAATTTAAAAAATGCTTTTGCACTGTTCGTATGTACTGCATTATTAAACAAAACCGTATCTGTTCAAGAATAGAATGTTTCTAAAGTGCACATGAGGTCCTTACAGTGTAAAAAAACATACCACACTAACAAAGAGCTGGTACACATGACTACTACTGTTGAGGGTTAAAAGTAAATCTGAGTATGCTAAAATAATCTTCACCACATTTACTTTTAGGCTACGTAGGCTACTCTGTACAATACCCATTAATGTGCATGTGTCATTAATGCTCATGAACACCTATATAACTTAGCTTTGTTTATTGCATTTAAGATGGTCCTAATACATTTACGTTTAATGTTTACATGAATGCAACACAAATGCAAAAGAATTTAACACCCATTATTAACAGCCTACACAACCCACTATTATGTTCCCAAATACTGGTATATCATTAGCATCCTAAAATTTGTAACAACATAACCATGTTACTTAAAATCAGGTACATGATAATTTTAGTTTCATATTTTCATACATTTTTAACTAAAATAATGACTTATTTAGCTTCAGGTTCCCCTTCTTCTGTAACTACACGCATGCTTCCCTGCCACCACAGTTATGTTTTGCTTCATTGGCACTTGTCAGATGTGAATCTTATAGGCTGTAGTTTGCTCCCCCAGCCACACTGTTGTTGTGTGGATGCACAGCATCCACACTATGTTATCCTGTTCTTTATTATTCTGATTTCTTCCGTTAGTTTTTCAGCATTTAATTTCTTCAGCATACTTTCAAGTACAAAGGCCATGAAGTTATCAAAATGTTCAGCTCTTTAAGGAAATTCCTGCTTATATTTTTATTGTTTGTAACATTTATACTTTTTAACATATTTAGCTTTTTTCAGCAGATTTTGCCCCATTCAAATGAATGGGAAAAATTTTCACATAATATCTTCAGCATACCTTCAGCTAAAACCACCATTTCAACTAATAACTATTCAGCAACTCTTCAGCTATTCATACTGTAAACAGCTTTTTGATATATTTTATGGTTTTTGCATAATTATCATTTACATTTTATGTCTCATTTCAATAGCCACACTCTAGTATTTCTCAGTGTGTAGGACTACTCTTTCTTTCTCATGCACACACATACACACAAACACCTACCTACCCACACACACTCAACACTACTTCTTTTACCTACTTTGCGGGGACCAATAGGAAAATGTTCACATCTTAATAAGTTCAGTATACTTTCAGCTAGAAAAGCCATTCTGGTGTCAAAATGTTCAGGTTTATCACAACATTATGGCATATAGTCAATGTTTTTTTTTTTTTACAACTTTCACACTTTTGAAAATATTCAGCATTTAGACAATGTTGCCTCATTCAAATGAATGGGTAAATTCAACTTCAGCATATTTTCAGCTATCAAAATGTTCAGCTCTTCAAGGACATTCATGCTTCTATTCAGAGGTTTACTGAACTTCACAATTTTGAAATATATTTTGAATATATTTCAAATATTTGAAAGTTTTGCCCCATTCAAATAAATGGGGAAATTCTATACTCAGCATACATTCAGCTATTTCAGTTATCAAAATTATCAGCTGCTCAAGGACATTCATGCTTCTATTCAGAATTTTTCTAATCTTCATACCTTTGAAATATTTTGCTTTATTTTGAAAATTTTCTCTGATTCAAATGAATGCGGACATTTTTACTTCAGCATACCTTCACCTCTTTTGGGTATCAAAATGTTCAGCTTTTCAAAATAAAGCTAAATGTTTCAAAGATATAAGTTTTACAAAAATACTGAAGAGAAGCATGAATGTTCTTGAAGAGCTGAAGATTTTGATACCCGAATGGCTTTGCTAGCTAAATGTTATCCTGGGAGACTTGAACATTTTCATACCTGAAAGTATGCTTAAGTAGAATTTCCCTATTCATTTGAAAGGGGCAAACTTTTCAGAATAAAGCTAAATATTATAAAAGTATGAAGTTTAGAAAAATTCTTAAGAGAAGCATGAATGTTCTTGAAGAGCTGAAGATTTTGATACCCGAATGGCTTTGCTAGCTAAATGTTATCCTGGGAGACTTGAACATTTTCATACCTGAAAGTATGCTTAAGTAGAATTTCCCTATTCATTTGAAAGGGGCAAACTTTTCAGAATAAAGCTAAATATTTTAAAAGTGTGATGTTTTGAAAAATTGTTAATAGAAACATAAATGTCCTTGAAGAGCTGAACATTTTGATACCCGAAATAGGTGAAAGTATGCTGAAGTAGAATTTTGCCATTCATTTGAATGGGGCAAAACTTGCTAATATATAGCAAATATACAGTGCCTTGTGAAAGTATTCGGCCCCCTTGAACTTTGCAACCTTTTGCCACATTTCAGGCTTCAAACATAAAGATATAAAACTGTAATTTTTTGTGAAGAATCAACAACAAGTGGGACACAATCATGAAGTGGAACGAAATTTATTGGATATGTCAAACTTTTTTAACAAATAAAAAACTGAAAAATTGGGCGTGCAAAATTATTCAGCCCCCTTAAGTTAATACTTTGTAGCGCCACCTTTTGCTGCGATTACAGCTGTAAGTCACTTGGGGTATGTCTCTATCAGTTTTGCACATCGAGAGACGGAAATTTTTGCCCATTCCTCCTTGCAAAACAGCTCGAGCTCAGTGAGGTTGGATAGAGAGCGTTTGTGAACAGCAGTTTTCAGTTCTTTCCACAGATTCTCGATTGGATTCAGGTCTGGACTTTGACTTGGCCATTCTAACACCTGGATATGTTTATTTGTGAACCATTCCATTGTAGATTTTACCTCTGAGACTATCACAGTGCAGGTGCATTTATATGGAGACTTGATTACACACAGGTGGATTCTATTTATCATCCTTTGTCATTTAGGTCAACATTGGATCATTCAGAGATCCTCACTGAACTTCTGGAGAGCGTTTGCTGCACTGAAAGTAAAGGGGCTGAATAATTTTGCACGCCCAATTTTTCAGTTTTTTATTTGTTAAAAAAGTTTGAAATATCCAATAAATTTTGTTCCACTTCATGATTGTGTCCCACTTGTTGTTGATTCTTCACAAAAAATTACAGTTTTATATCTTTATGTTTGAAGCCTGAAATGT